TTGAAGTGGGCTACGAGGGAGATAGAGCAGCCATCGCTGCCTGTAGATAGCGGTAGAAGACGGCCATAGCCGCCATAGCCTAGAGTTAGTTTCCAATGTGTGTGTGTGTGTGTGTGTGTGTGTGTGTGTGTGTGTGTGTGTGTGTGTGTGTGTGTGTGTGTGCGTACCGTACAGAGTGAGTGTGCGCGGGATATCCAGGGAGATCCAGTGTGGTGTACGTGTGAACAGTTGTTGTGAATACAGTGTCGAAAGTGAGATGAGTAGGCGCACAAGCGCCATAGCCACTTTGAAGCGAGTTTGTATCTCAACTGTGTTCTCGGCCTTCATATCTCTGAGCTTTGTGTGGGCGCCTGGCGCCAGTTGGATTGCCATGCTGAACGAAGAAGAAGGCGAGTCCGATTGCACTTACCAAACCACCCGGAAAAAAAAAGAGGACATTACGGGGACCATCACCCAGTTATGGTGCAGAAGTCGGGGTGATATCCAGGGACAGAATTAGCCAAAAAACAGACCGCATTCCTGATGAAACCCACCCGCAAAATAAAAACTGCCTCAGGCCAGAAAAGCCTCACAAACCACCAAACCACCCAAACAGAACCTTCTCACGGACTGAAAAGCCGAACAATCCTAAAATCGGTTCTCTGGCCCAGCTATTCTGAGCCTCAGCCCTATTAACAAAATTTCCCACACGGGCTATAAAGCTTCCACAATCCTGAAGATAATCTTCGGGCCTTGTGGGGCCGGCCGTTTAAAAAAAAACAAAAAGAAAGCAAAAAAAAACGATGTCGGAGATGGCCATGAAGGAGGTAGTGATCTATACTTTCAAGCCCGTATCTGACTAACATTCAGGTTATGTTCTTGTTCACGTCTTTTCTTTTCTTGTAGTGTCCTGCCACAGAGGCAGGGCGCATTCCACAGGCTACCGAGAGGAAGGTCACGGAGGGCACACTCGCACTACTACCAACAACAATGTATCATCCCCGCTTTCCCATCCTTAGGGCAGTTTCGTTTTTCTTTTTTCTTTCTTCTAACTTCTCTCACGTGTCAGTGAGAGCAACTGTTGTAATGCCCTCACTGAGGGCACACTCACACAAGTACTCGCTTTCTGTACCCACCCGCTATGCCGTCCAAATGGTTGTTTCCTTTTTTTTTTCATTCTTTCGAAGAGATGCAACGCCTAGTTCACAGAAGGGACCCACGTTCGGCAAAACTCAGTGCACAGTGAAAATCAGGGTCAGCAAAAACAGGCTGGGAGGTAGTGGTGGTTTAAGTGCAAAGGTCATCATTGAGCATGTAATGAACCCAGTTCAGATCGGCACAAGGGTCGAAGGCCAGAAATAGGGGTCCAAAGTCACGTCCCTAGCCCGAGAAATGTCTGAGAAAGTGGCACAAGGGTCGAAGGCCAGAAATAGGGGTCAAAAGTCACGTCCCTAGCCTAAGAAATGTCTGAGAAAGTGCCTAGGGTCAAAAGTTGGGTCCAGTACCCCAACGTGAGACAGCTGACTCCTCGAAAATCAAGAGTCGACCTGTTACATGCACAGATATGCAATGTACGTAATAACCGAGGAACTGCCATGTGATGAAAAGGACTGAATGGACAATACAGTGCGAGTAGAGTCTCGACAGACAATGTGCATTCTCATACATACAAAAGGTGCTGAATAGCGCAGGGAAGACTTTGATACAAAGACTGACCTGACAGGACTGACCTCATTCACGTAGTTCAGAGTAGCGAAGCAGAATGCTAGAGTACTACTAACTAGCCCAATCAATGTTTGAACTCAGACTAAACATGCATGGTATCCATCACCAAGTGTGAAGGAGCCTGGCGCTGTACACAGGAAGAAAGCGCCAGGTCCAGACATACACAGACGAAGAGATAAGGATCAGACAAAAGGAGGGAGAAGGATGTGAATGTCGTTAACACCAAGTCTTGGTCACCAATCCCAAATAGTCCCTCGTTGCCATGTCTGAACCCCCAAAAGCCGAGTCTGGATCAAATGTCACCAAGCTCCGTATCTCTTCTCTCATAGTCTGCAGATGCAGTGAAGTCAGAAGCTGAGAGGGAGAGAAGAGATGGTGGACTGAGAAGAGGAAGAAGAAGAACTCTCTCTCTCTCTCTGTTACGAACCAGATACTAACCTGTGATGTTGGCGCCGTGCTGCAGGTACCTCGAAGACGAAGCTGGAGCAACGGCGCTGCAGGTAGGTACCTCTGGCCTCCGCCCAAGCTCTCTCTCTCTCTCTAGTACTACCTAGCTATGGCGCCCAGTGCTGCAGACTACAGCTACCTACTGCGCCCAGCACTGAAGACAACTAGCTAACGCTACAACTACTACTACGCAGCGCTCCCTCCAGAGTGCTGCTCCCGAATCCTGAAGACTACAACTGCTGACTCCCTGCCTCGGAAGTGCCTGGGAAGTCCTATGTACTACCTCGGCCTGCCTCCTAACTGCTGGAGGGCGAGTCAGGCCGAGGAGGCAGCTCTTGCCAATGCCGAAGTGTGCCAGGGCTGCTTGAGGTTGGCGTGGGAAACTGACTATTAATAGTATGTTCCCGAAACCCTGGTTCGGTGCCTGAGTTTCAGGGCCGGCCGTTCTGATGAACGACCGAAAATGGCCCTTCGTTTCAGGCTAAAAATGCAGTTGCCATTTTTAGTCTGAAACGACACAGGGACAGGCCCAGGAATTCAGGCTTTCGGCCTAAACCGACAGGGGGCCTGTAAGCCCTGGATTTTAGGCTTTCGGCCTGAAATTCAAGCTTTCGGGCCGAAGTTCAGGGTTTTAGCCTGAACGGACGCAGGCCTGCAAAATGGCCTGCGTGTGCACGCGCAGCATGTAACACCCCCCCCTCCTTATGAAGTCAAGCGGGGGCAAGGGGGAAGCCGTTGATATGAAGGTGGAACCTGGACGCGGGCGCGTCGAGGAGCCGAAGAAACCGGCTTGCCCTGCATCTTGCGTTCGTAGCGTGCGAGAACGTCTAGAGCTGTTGTTTGAAGTTCCGCACGGGTTAACCAACGGTCAGCTCGGTGTGTGCAGTATGCAAAACGCACTAAATACTCAGTTGGCTTGTTGCCAAAGCGTCGTTGGAAGATGATGTCGCCAACCTCCTGAAAACCATCCATAGAAGGTGGGTCTTGCGTACATCTCCCGGGAAAGTCGTCATGATCCGCTGGCGTGTAGAGAGCCAGTTTGGAGCAATGAAAGACTGGGTAGACAGGCAAGTGGCTAGGTACCTGAATCGTGAAGGAGGGTCCTTCGGGTGCGTCCCCAGCGGGCTCTATGATCCGCCAAGGCCCCATCCATTTCGGAAGGAGCTTGCGACAGACGTCTTGTTCAAGGCTGAATTCCGCTGCGGAAACCCAGACGAGGTCCCCGGCGCGGAATGGACAAGGAAGACGCTGGCGATTGGCCTGCCGGCTCATGCGCTGTTGCGTCTTAGCCATCTGGTCGCGTGCCTTGACAAGAAGCTCTTACATCCGACGCAAGAAAAGAAGATGGTCCTCGCTCTCGGCCTTGCGTGGAGTAATAGTGTCCAACGGTGATGTGACCGGCGAGCCATTCTCGAACTCGAAGCGCGATATCCCAATAGTCGGGTGGATGGAAGAGTTGTAGGCCAACTCGACGTCCGACAGTCGCTCAACCCAATCTTTCTGGTCGGGGCGGATGAGAGTGCGAAGGAGAACATGTGCGGTTTGATGCGCCCTCTCTGTCTGGCCATCGGTTTGAGGGTGGCGAGCTGAACTGGGCTTGAGTGATGAGCCCCATCGCTTGATGAGCGCCAACCAAAAATCGGACATGAACCGATTGTCGTGGTCGCAAACGATCTCCTTGGGGTAACCCTTGGTGCGAATCCAACCGGCGTAAAGAACCTCGGCCAACTCCGGTGCCTTGGCATGATAGCGACAAGGCAAAAGCATGGCGAACTTGGTGAGTCGGTCGACCACCGTGAGAATCCCATCCACTCCGGTCTTGTGCTTGGGGAACGGGCCGGTAATGTACATGGCAATCGCTTCCCTTCGCCGCAACGGGACTGGCAATGGTCGTAACTCGCCGTTCGGACGATGGTTGCAGGATTTGCAGCGTCGGCAAACCTCGCATGACTCGCAATACCGTGTGACGTCGCCGGAAAGGCCGGGCCACCAAAATCGCTGGCGAAGTCGGCCAATCGTGCGATTGACTCCAAAATGTCCACTGGCGGGAGCGTCGTGGAACTCGCCAAGAAGCCGTGTACGCAAGTGAGGATCACTCGGTACGCAAAGAAGGTCCTTCCCCCACGTGTGGACAAGCAAGTATCCCTTTTGGATCTGGTAGTGAGAAGGAGCCGGATTAGGAGAGGAGCAATTCGCGTACTTGTCGCGAAACTCAGGGTCGGCTTGGTAGCCGCGGATGAAGCTGTTCTGCAGGTCGTCGTCAATCTCGAAGGTCGAGTAGACTGCGGTAGAATGATCCGGACGCCATGAGAGAGCATCCGCAAAACGGTTCGACTTCCCGGGAATGTGATCGGGAAAGAAGTCGAACTGGTCGATGAAAGCCATCCATCGACCGATGGTGTTGTTGATTGTGTCTTGGGTCTTGTAGACGACCAACGGATTGTTGTTCGTTACCCATCGAATTGGCTTCGACCAAGGAGGAAGTGTCGCCACCACTTGAGCGCGTGGACGAAGGCGAGGAGCTCCTTCTTGCGTGTATCGTCAATGGAATGCACGAGGGGCACTTTCTTGCTGAAGTACTCGACCAGGTGCCAGTCCACACCATCATGTTGCTCGAGGACTGCACCAATGCCATAGCCTGACGCATCCGTAGTAACGCGCGTAGGCGCAAGCGGGTCGTTTATCTGCAAGACCTCCGCAGACAATAGCGCGGCTCTGAGAGCGAAGAATGATCCTCGCGCCTCCTCTCCGAAGTCAAATGACCGATCCTCACACTGAAGCTTGTTCAAGTGGGCCGCGATCTTGGAGTAGCCTTTGATGAAGCGCTGATAGTAGCCGGTAAGACCGAGGAACGAGCGGACATCCGTGACGTTCCGAGGCTCCAGCCACTCTTGGACGACCTTTTTCTTGTCCGATAGCGGACTGATGCCCTCCGGTGTGACAAAATGGCCCAAGTATTCCAGCTCTTGCCGGACAAATTCACACTTGTCACGGTTGGCCTTGTACTTGGCGCGGCGGAGCGTCTCCAACACTTGTCGAAGATGCCCCAGATGATCCTCCAATGACCGGCTATAGACGAGAATATCGTCTAAGTAGACCAGCACGAACCGGTCCGACATTGCACGGAACTCATTGGTCATCGTCGCCTCAAAGGTCGCCAAGGCGTTGGTGAGGCCAAAAGGCATGACCACCCACTCAAAATGCGCATACCTCGTCTTGAACGCCGTCTTATAGCGATCGTTCGGCTGAATCAAGATTTGATGATATCCCCATTTCAAATCCAACTTGGAAAAATACTTCGCACCGCCCAGCCGCTCGAGAAGATCGTCGATGCGAGGAAGAGGCCCCGCATTCTTGACGGTTTGCGCGTTGAGCTTGCGGTAGTCGATACACAATCGTAGATCCTTGTTCTTCTTCCTGACGAAGAGAACTGGTGCTCCATATGGGGAGCTACTCGGGCGGATCCAGCCCTTGGCCAACAAATCATCGAGTTGTGCGCGGAGGACCTCAAGCTCCTCCTCGCTCATCCATAGATGCAACCTTTCGGCGGCACGGCACCGGCCTCAAGAATGATCTCGTGAGAGATCGACCGACCAGGCACCGCACCGGTAGGTGACTCGAAGATGTCTGCGAACTCGTCTAGCAACCGTACCACACGGGGGTCCAAAGACAAGTCCGTGGGTGAAGAGTCGGCTACCGCGACGGTCCGTAGGAAACATAGGCCGATCTCCTCGGGCTGCTCGTAAGCGCAAGTCGCCCGGAATGATTTGGTCGTCACCACTTGGCACCGGATCGAAGGGTGCGGGAGAGGAATAGTACACGCCACTTCCGCGCCGAAGGCGTCGCGAACGCTAAGAGTCCGCCGATGGAAGTTGACCGTGTGATCCGCACTTGCAAGCCAAGGCATTCCCAAAATGATGTCGAAGTCCGTATCGAGAATATCGAATGTTACCGGTTCGCATGCATGAGGTGCGGAGTGGACCGGTACGGCCTCGAGGTAACGGTCGAGAAGTTGTTGCGTCTTTCCATCCGCCAACTTCATTGTCGTCGGGTTTGCCTTCCTCCGAACTTGTGCGCCAAGGCCAGCCCTTTGCATAAAAGATTGGCTCATGAAGTTGCGAGACGCGCCGCTATCCAGCAAAGCGCTGCAGGACGCTTGCCCAACCTGGATGCGGACATACATGAGCGGTGCATTGTTGTTATCGTACCGCTGCGTGCGAAGCTCGCGGGCCACCTTGGTAGTATATGCCAGGATGTCCCCCACCGCGACTTCGTCATCCGTCGGCGAAGTTGGTGGTGGATAGAAGGATAGGTAAGTGTGAAGATTAGCGCTGAGTGTTGCGCATTGCGGTCCCGGCAAACAGCCTGTGGTCGGGAGAGGAAGCCATGCAAAGTCCTCAGACGTGAGCGGGTCCAATGCCTCTATATTGAACTTGCGCGCCGAATCCCGTGACGAACCACTTGAAGACGATATATCGCTGTTGCCGGACGGAGAAGAAACCGCACACACTCCTTGTCCTTGAGCTTAAGTACCCAGCGTTGGAACGAGCCGGGCAGCATAGTCCTCAAAAGAAAGTAGAAGTGGAGGACTGTCGACTTCCGCGTGCGCCTCGGAATGAAGGCTGGTTACTCGCGAAGAAACCAGTTCCGAAGGCATCGAGAGTGTCGTCGCGTCACTCTCGACGGTGCTCAGTTTCCCTGTCTGCCCTTGCCTTTCAATGGGCAACCCTGCGTCTAATGAAGGTCGCTGTTGCACCAAAGGCAATAGTGGAATCTCTCGCGCGCCTTGTATGCGGACTCGGAGAGGCCATACGGGGTCCATGGGCCTGTCTGAGCTGCTGCACCGGGCCCGGGGCTAGAAACGGTGTGTGACTTCGTCTTGCCGCGTCCTCGGCCTCTGCCGGGGCGGCCACCTTCCCGGGCGGCTGCGAATCTGTCCCCTTCACTGGCAGACACAGCCTCGCTGGTCTTGTCTAACAGCGCTGCCGCTGCGACCACGGCCATTCTTGGCTGATGCTGGTCCCTGCTCGGGCCTGACGAAGATGAACGGAGGTTCTTGGCCTCCTTGTTCGCGATAATGATCTGCGCAGCCTGATCGAACAACTCCGCCGTCGTCGTGAAGGTGTCCTCGACATGAGTCACAGCATTGCTTAATGTCGGACATGACCTTGAGATGAAGTAATGGCGGATGGCCTTGAAGCCCATCTGGATGTTTGGGACTGACGTCAAGCGTTGGTACTCGGCGATCCAGTCCGTACTCGGCAGCGTGCCTTGCTCGAAGACCATGAGTTTGTCCATGGCTTTGATCTCTGGCGGCTCCACCTGGAACCGCTCGTGCCACGCCGCCTTCAGATCATCCCAACTGATCTTGGTGTGCAAGTCGGCCGCTACTACTCCATACTTGGACAGAAGGTTGTCCAACCAAGCCTAGCACGCGCCCTCTGAACGAGAGTACAAGTAGGCGTGATGCTTGTGTTCCTTGACGTTGGACAGATGCAGCGTGAGCTCGAACTTGCGGAACCATGGAATCGGATCTGCCTTCATGGAGTCGCAGAAGATCTCCTGTGCGTCAAACTTTGGAGTTGTCTCGCGCGGCTCCGTACTCGAGGTAGTGGTGGTGGTACAGACCCGCTGCTGCAACTGTTGCATCGCAGTGAGCTGTAACTGTGCGCCATCCTGGAGTGAGATGACGTGCATCTCCAATGCATTGAGGCGGTCGACAGTATTGGAAGAGCCTGCGTCGGCGGCGGCGACTGGTCGCTGCTCTAACCGCTGAAAACGGTCTTGGAGGTGAGCTAGCGATCTATCGAGACCAAGGATCTCTACCTGCTGTGTAATGCAAGTTGCCAGGAGATCCGTGAGATGCGAGAGGAGGAGCGCTATCTTGTTTGCGCTATCCTCCAACTGGCTATTCTCGGCCTCGGTTCGCCATTCTGCTGCCATGGTAAGTAACGCCCGCTCTCCGGTAAATATCTTCTCACGATGCTGGTTCCTTTCTTCATCCGCGGCCCGTGCTGTTGCCTCGTCATGCTGGCGCTGTTGTTCAAGTGCCAGCAGACGTGCCTGCTCGGCATCTTCTGCCTTTTTCTTCGCTGCTGCTGCAGCGTCATCTGCCCGTTTCTTAGTCTCGGTACTCCAGGCCAGCATGCGGGCCTGATAGGCCTCGTCTGCTTCCCCGGGCCTCTGGTCCATGACTGCTGTTTGAGATCGCAACAGCATAGACCGGAGCGGGGGCCTGTTGATGTGGTATCCCTTGCTGCTGACGTGGCACAACTGACGTGTCCTGCTGACGTGTCCTGCTGACATAGCCTGCTGACGTGTCCTGCTGACGTGTCCTGCTGACATAGCCTGCTAACGTGGCCTGCTAACGTGGCCTGCTGACGTACTGACATAGACTGCTGACATGCCCTGCTGACGTGGTCTGCTGACGTGGCCTGCTGACGTGGCCTGCTGACGTGGCAACTCACCAATGCCGCTGCAGGGGGTACCCGAATACCAACAGAAACGGAAAGGCGAGGGATGGCAACAACATAGGTGGGGAGGGGTGGGTGGGATAATCGCCCAACTCACACTTAGATAAGGAGCCACTAATCAAAACAGAAAAGTTCGAACTTTGCAAAAAAAAAAAAAAAATCCCGATTTTTTGCAAGTTCGGTAGGTCTCCCAATGTGGCATACTGCGTAGCCACACGGGCCCTGTAGGACCCGTCCCGGACATTCAGCCTAAAAGCCTAAAACTTAGGATCTACAGGCCCCGGTCGTTTCAGCCTGAAAACTGAAAAA